GATATTTCTTTCAAGTTTAGAACATTTTCTGCGTAACCGTTGGTTTCCTTTATAATTTCATTTACCGATTCGTCCGTGAAAAATAATTTAAAATATTGTATCGGCCGTTCAATGTTCGTAGGAACTTGTGGTCCAATGACCTGCGTCAATACACTAAAAGGTATTCTATCTGGAATATGTAATTCTTCCGTAACATCGCGCCATTCATCCAAGTCTTGTAACGAATCTTCGCTTTCACTTTCAATAATTCTCATTCTTCGTCTCTTTGGTAGTATAATTTCGCTACTACTACTCGAAGTGTCAGAATCATAACCAACATTGTCCTCCACAATGACTTTTAACTCTTGAGAATCAAATACGTTTTCAGTATCACTCGGCTCTAAATTCTCATCATAATATTTATTTTTCTCCATGCTGCTAACCATAGAAAAGGTCAAAAAATGGTTTAATCATAATGGTACAGACTTGACACGTTTTAACTACAGATAACAATTGCTAACGCCGACGATAACGTATGCTAAAAACGTTTCGCTCCGCAGCGGAGCCTTCGGAGTTACGGAACAAATGACAAATGTCTCCGTAACGGAGCCTTCGAAGCGCTAAGGGTTAAATTTGTTCAACTCGTCTGCGAGTCCATCGCTGATACCTTTTTGCTGTTCTTCGAGAAGCAATGGCTATTTGTAACTTATAAAAAACATGTATCGCTTGAAATCCGAGGTTCATAATATTTAATATGCATTCGCTATGGACTAATTTACTGTGGAATAGTTTGAGGGGCAATATCAATTTTAATCGTACGTGGAGGATGTTAATTTTTATTTCATTTTACTTAGTTTACACTTTCGTTTCACTAGACCGCAGTCTTTTATGCAAAATAAATATTGATAAAAATGGCATTCCGTTAGTAATCATTTTAATAACTTCCACATAGGATAAAGATATCATCAAATTCTGCTGACGTCTTCACAGTTTTGTATTTGACCTAGCTATTATTATCAAAAATGCAGTCTCTCTGATGATTACACAGAGCTTCGTCAAAAATGTATTTCTTCTTTCAACAGTTTTAATATGTTGAGAGTAATATGTCTTCATTGTTTCCTACTTGAAGTATTGATTTTTGTCATATATGCATAAATTTTTGATTCCAGTCACTATAAAATTAAAGGTTCTGATATTTAATCTCTGAAACTTGCTAGATGTCGAGCTTGAATGTATTAAATAAAACTGACTAAAAAATCAGCCCAATAAAGTCAGCACAGGAATATGTAATAGCAGTGCAGTGAAAGAGTACTAATTACTCTAAGACAACGGTTAAATTTCAATATATAGTATCAACAACCCGAAATCCTATACGCGATGCAAAATTAACAGATCGCGCGGTTCCAAGGCTAATATTCGAATCAACTGGCTATCAACGTTTTCTCGAAGGTCAGATTAATTAATCCGGTTATGTTCGGCTCTCTCTCTCTCTCTCTCTGTGCTTATTGAACGCACACACGCGATTTCTGCGAACTGCGGCGACAGCATTCGCAAGAATCCACAAACCGAAACGATCCGAATATGGGAGCGCAATCTTTGCAGGCGAACGGTGGTCGGTCGAGCCACCGCGGGTTCGGTAAATTACGGTTGAAAATCGGTGTTGGCGTGCGGAAGGTAAAAGCGCACGGTCTACGGACGGTCCATGCCCTTTGTTCGCACGTTTTCGCTCACCCGCCGTGCCCCCTCCCAATCTTGCCAAGTAATCGTCCGCAAAGAACGTCGAACGCCGCGCGCCGCCTCCGCGTCGTTCCCGTGAACACCGTTACGCGAATCGCGATCAAATTTTCCGTAAATAGCCGGTGAACCTTCGTGAACCGTTCCTCCTTCCGTGTACCAACCGCAATCGACGACGAATCATCGGGACCGGTTATTCCTGAACGAGTCTTGCAACATTTAGCGCGATCGCTGCATCGAACGGGTCGCACGGGCATCAGCTGGACCAGTTGTTCCAAAATCTGCAAACTGCAAACTCCCGGGCTTCTTATTGCCAGCTCTTTCTTTCCTTTTCATTGAAATTTAGTCTCCGGAAAAGAAGATATCTGTGCAAGTTTTGTATGTTCATTGCTGCAGCAGTTTACGCAGTTGTTGCTTTTTATACTTCATGCTTTGCCTCTCATTTTCATCTTTATATAACAGGTACATTTGTTGCACTTTCATTTACTTTCATTTTATTCCTATAATACTCTGCGACGGTAGTTCTATGAATTAAATAATTATTCACACTACATTTTCTGGGACACATTGATCTAAATTGGACAGACGTTTACTTTAACCCCTTGTTATACTTTGACCAGTATGACACGCGATGAAGATTTCTAGTAATAACCTGTTAAATACGAATGCTATTCCGTTCTTTTTAGTCTGAATAAAATTCGAATTTCTTGTCATCGGTATTTAAACATTTCAGTAAATGTAGATACGCAGTGAATATAAATTATTCTTTTCCTTCTTAGAAATTATGTAGAAACCGAAGGTCAACGACTGGAGTGTCCGCGACCGCGTTATAATTTCGGAGCGTCCTCCGAAATCACAAAAAACCGATCGGTGCTCGCGAACTGCCGTGCGTCAGTCCCACGCGACGTGCGTGTGCGTGCGTACGTGAGCGTCGCGATGTTCGATTGCGCCGCTGGCTAGGACGATCGGGTAGTATCGGGCGCTACTAGGATGCTCGGCTAGCGTCGGCCGCTGCTAGGATGATCGGCTAGTGTCGAGCGCTGCTAGGAGGCTCGGCAAACATCGGGCACTGATAGGATGATCGGCTAGCGTCGGCCGCTGCTAGGACGATCGGCAGTCGTCGGGCGGTGATTGAACAAAACGGCCAAATTCGCAAGGAGACTCGTAATGTTCGGCTAGCGCGCCGATAAAAGGATACGCAGAGCGCGAGACGGAACACGACGAACGTCAACACGTAAATTATGATCACGCTCACGAATACGATTACGATTACGGTTTTCGACTTCGGCGTACAATTACGAGAATTATTGTACACAGCTTCACTGTTTAGTAATGAGTAAAATAGTTTCTAAAATCTACTACCTCTACGAAGACTATAAGACTGTAACTACGAAGAAAATGGTGCGGTAAGAGGTTAAGAAAGATAACGTTCCAAAGAAAGTTCACTTCTGCAGTATTAAAAACACTGAGAAATAAATAAATAAATAAATAATTTACGTTCGGATACGATTTCGCAATAGAAAAAAAGACGATTTAGGTAAAAGGGCTGGTTGTTCAAACAGAATGCAAAAACATTGCCATACCGAATACCAGAAACGAGCAGTGTCCCAGAAAAACTCTGGACGCGTTAATCACGAAACAACCGTTGTAAGATGGGCCGTGGGTGCACACGACGGTGTCTGTTATTCAAAACCGATTCCCGGTTGCCATCAATCACGTTACCGAGCTGCATTATCTCGCCCTATTAACGGGCCTGTATTTCAACCGGACACAATGCCTGCCGACGAAAGATGATATTGACACGCTAATTTCGAATCGACGACTGATTGTTGCCGGCTGGCGCAGCGAGGCATTCACAGCTTGCCCGTCGCTTTTCATTGTTACAGAAAATTGCGAAGCGGCCTCACTCTCTCGCCCTCTCTCTCTCTCTCTCTCTCTCTCTCACACACGCTCTTACTCTGTACCCTTCTCTCTGCCTGTCTCTTTCCTTCCTCTCTCTCTCTCTCTCTCTCTCTCTCTCTCTCTCTCTCTCTCTCTCTCTCTCTCTCTCATGATTTCAATACGCGGCAACAGGAAAAATTCGTTTCCCCGCGGAAAATCGAACCGCTGAATCGCATACCGGAACAGCCGAGCCCCGTTTAGTTAGAGCCATTAAGCAAACTTCGTTTCGTTTCGCCAGTGAGAATCGTTTCGCGTCACGGTATCATCCCCCTAACATCCTCCATGCTTGGCATCGCTCGCCGAAATATCTACGACCATAACACTTTCACGTCCCTGCGAAATACCATGTTCAAACAATTTTGTAAAGGGCCCGCTGGCCACGGTCGCTGAACATTGATTTCGGTTATTTTTCTACTGCTTCGTATTCGTCGAAGGTAATTCGAAAGTATAACGGACAAGTAGGACAACAGAGAACGTTGGTCGAAGTTCGAGTGACTCAATTGTTTTATTCTTTAATATTTCACCGAGCCTGGTTTAAGCGCTGAAACGGTCATAGGAATCGATGATCCTATAGAATATTGGATACAATGTAAATTTGTACAGACGTTCTTCTTCCTTTTTCATTTCATGGCTCCCGTTGTGGCCCAATTAAAGTTACAACAGGGACTCCCTTAACCGAACATTTATTTTTACAATATTCTGCCATCCAAACGTTCTGTTATCCGATCATTGTATTATTCAGACACGTTATCACATAGCAGAGAACTTGAATACTTGAATACATTCGTCGGTAATGTTTTGATATTTTTTTTCTTTTTTTCTGCTGTTTCTTTCCTTTTTTTTCTATTTGTTTGTACTTATAAGATTGCTACATAAAATCTCTCTATTTGTTATCACTTCTTCTGTAGCAAAAGATTTTTCTATCTGTATACATGTGAACAAATTATTATGTATATATTATATTATGTATAAATTATATACATATTGACATAACCTTTTGTTACAGAAGAAGTAGTAACAAATAGAGAGATTTTATATAGTATATTTATATTTTTATTTTATATAATTCAACTAAAAATACACGGCTGTTCAACGCATGAAAAGTCATTAACGCCCAAAGTGAACTTCCACACGGTATAGCTTTAGCCTAATTTCGCCCGAAAATCGTCAGTCTGCCAAGAAATCGTATCTCGGAGTGTCTCGCGCAGTTCTCGGCAAGCCTGAAAATACTAACCCCAAGGAATTTTTACTCCGAATTCATTTTTCTCCGACGCGATCGCGGGAGCGGCGCGCATGAAGGAAGCAAATGATTAATTGGACTTCCAATGTACCGTCAGGATGATAATTGACGGGCGTTTCACGTGCTCCGACGAACTCTGCCTATTCCTGGGGGCGCGTCGGGCAAGTTTCTTTCTCGGCCAGCCGGAAGGGAGAGACTTAAAGCCGACGTTTCAGAGAGAAATTTCGCGGAACTATTTCCTATGTAGACGATCGCGGTTTAGCGAGTCGGCCAGGTTGCCGATTATTCTCCCTTCCCGATCGTCCCTTCGTTTTTCTTTCATTTTTTTTCCTTTTTTGTTTCACCGCCGACTCTGCTCTTCCCGAATCCGTCCCCTTTGATCGTATTCTCAGCCCCGGAAATCGCTCTTGAAATAACGACCCGCGTCGCGATCGAACGGAAAGCCTGCCGCTTTGTCTGCGAAACCGTGGACCTCGATATCGGTCGGATAGCACAGTTCAGATCCTTATCGAGCCGTTCGATACACGTATAATCGCGGATATTCGACCTTTCGGATTAGATTATCCGTGGTACCTTGGGCGTGGTGGCCCTCCGAGCTACAGGGTGTTCGCAAAATATTTTCAGAAATTTAGAGCTTCGAATCGCAATCGAGATTCAATAGATAGGCGAACAATCGGTAGCTTAGCTAAAAAGTAAATTTCGTTTCCCGTTAATTTTCTGCTTTTCTGCAATTCTTTTCATCGATATATCTCGTCAATTTCTTAAAAAAATACTCCCGTGTTTTTTAAACGAAGATTCCTTTGCATGCTGCGATTAAAAAATATTTTCAACGCAGTAGGTGCGTATTCTTCGTAAAAGAATATTTTTTCCTATTGGAAGCAAGATTGGACAATGTTCCTATACATTTTTCATATTGATCGTTACTGTATTACAAAAAAATGATTTAAGTTGCTTTTTGAATCGAGAATTTTTTAATGAAATGAAAACATATAAAGAAATTAAAAGATATAAAAGACCGTTTCTCGGAGTAATCGTAACCAGTCGCACGGAAGAAGCTTAAAGGGTTCTCCAGTAGCAATTAAAGCGCATCGATCGTTCGCGGACACCCCGTATACCTGATCCCTTCTTGGCAGCTCGCGAAGGGGAGATAACACGTAGACAAGAGAGGTGGGATAAGGGACAAAGAAAGAGAGAGCGCGAGCAAAGAGAAATGTTAGGAGTGGGTTTCCCGTTCAATCTTCGAGAGGACTCGGCTACGTACTACGGGAATGCTGTTATCCCGCCGGATAGGACAACTATCGTTCAAATCTTGAAAATTTGAATGCATTGAATTTCGGATCTTGGTCCTTCCGAACACGGTTCCTCTTCTCGGGGAATGCGAAAAGGATGAACAATTCCGCGAGGGTAACGCTGGGGGATCGAATTCAAAGGAAATACCGGGTCACGGAGACCGGGCCGCGTCCCGTCCGATGCAGCCCGTGTCCGAGAAAAGAGATGCGTTTACGACGAGGGAACGCTGAGATATTCGATCTATTTGTCTTCCAGGGAAGAAGCTGTTCCCGGTGACGTTCATCGGGTCGATCTTCTGGATAGCGGCGTACTCGTACTTGATGGTGTGGTGGGCGAACGTGGCCGGCGACACGGTCGAAATACCGCCGGAAGTGATGGGCCTGACTTTCCTGGCAGCCGGCACCAGCATCCCGGATCTGATCACCAGCGTGATCGTCGCCAGGAAAGGTTTCGGCGACATGGCAGTGTCCAGCTCCGTCGGCAGCAACATCTTCGACGTGACCGTCGGGTAAGATCATCAGAATTTTTACATTTCTTTCTCCTCGACCTTTTGTCCTCCCATTCAGTTATAACTGGACCGAGCTTGGAATATGGCTGTCACACCGTTGACAAGACTAAATGTGCCATCAAGTCGTAGGTGAAAAACCATGAATGTTTAAACTGTTATAACTTTGTGGGAAAAAATCGTGCAGCAATGTACTTAGGCTTAGTTTAAAGAGTGAAGTCTCTACTTTCGTATCCTTGAATTGTCTCATTTTTAAAATCTCGGTATTGTCTCGTGCAAGACGATCACACCGAAGATGAGACTAAATGTGTCACCAAGTCATAGGCGGAAAACCGTGAATGTTCAAACTATTGTAGCTTTGTGAAAACGAATCATACAACAATGTATCTGGGCTTATTTTAAAGGGTGAAGTCTCTACTTTCGTACCCCTAGATTATTTCATTATTAAAATCTCAGGATTGTCTCATGCAAGAGAATCGCACCGTAAATGAGACTAAATGTGCCACCAAGTCATAGGTGGAAAACCGTGAATGTTTAAACTATTGTATCTTCGCGAGAGAAAATCGTAGTTCGACGAATTTCTTTCGCGCGACACAGAAAATCGTGGGGGCAGGAGCGAAGGCCATTAACGAGGGTGTTAATGATACCGCATGAACAGCACACGTGTGTCTAGATTTTGGACCGGACAAAAAAGGCGAGAACTGCGGGTCACGCGGGGAAGAGGGGTGAATCGCGGGGTGGCGGACGGTGGGGAATGATTGCAAAAGTGTCTAGAGGCAACGAGCGCCGCGGTGTCCCTGGGCGGGGCGAAAATGCGTAAAGCGGGACACGTGGGGCCGCGTCGCGCGTCGCGTCAATCGGAGGACTTTTTCCACACAATAAAAGCAAAGAGTGGTCCGTCTCGCCCTCCCCCGCCTTGCCGCCGGCCACCCCCGCGGCTGAGATAATTTATCGATATTTGTTTTCTCCGCAGTCGAATGTAGGTCGCGTATGGATTTACGCGGCTCCGGTTATAAGCGGCCATCGCGCCGCGTTATCGAGGGCATCGGTTATGGCGATTTTCACGCGAGACACACAATCCACCCTCTCGTTCGCCTCCCGGCACCCTCCGTCGCCGCCCACGGCGTGCGCGAGCTGCACAAACCTAGCAGCTAATGCCCGCGAAATAAGATACGTTTGGAAAAAGCAGCTTTCCGCCGGGAAACGAGATCGATTCCGTCTCTCGCGCCACTAGAGCCGCCTTTTTGTTTCGGACGGTTCTGTCGAAGACGAGAGATAAATGGGGTCCGACCTGGGAGGAGCCGGAGGGGGGGTAACTCAGGAGTCTCGTGGTTGGTTCATGAAACGGGGTGGATCCGGCTGAAAGTCAGCCGAAGCCGTAAAACGGCTCTGGTTCTTCTGTCCGCTTTTCATCCGAATATACAAGTGACTGTGCAATTTGCAGTTCCGTCCAGTAGACGTTCTCTCGACGTCCGAGTTAGTTTCAAGTCGATGCTTGAAAAATCAGGGGTGAAAATCGAACACGCGAAAATCGATACGATCGCCTCTTCTATAATTTGTTAAAGTGATGTCGGACTCGCAAGAAACGAGCTTCTTCGACGGAAAAAATTCTATTGGCTCCTCGGAGATGTGTTAATAGATAAAGAAGGTTTCAAATTAATGTGTCCAACAGTTTTCTTTTCAAAGATGTCGGTATCTCAAGAGCGTTCCTTTAAGAGGTACCCTTTGAGAAGATTTCCACTTTTATTCAATCCTCGGACTTCGACTTAACTTCTAATATACAGGGTGACCCGTAATTACGTTGACGCCCGGAAAGAGGCGATCCCTGTGGTCATTTGAAGAAACTTTATCCTTGGCGAAAATGCAATCCGCGACTTTGTTTACGAGTTATTAACGAAAAACCGTGACCAATGAGAGACGAGATCAGCTGATACGCGGCGACCGAGCCAACGAGCGGAACATTGGTCAGCGTTTTTCTTTGATAACTCGCAAATGAAGCGGCGGATTGCATTTTCGCTAAAGAAAAAGTTACTTGAAATTACCTCAGGAACTCCTCATTTCCTGAAAGTAACATAATTTTAGGACATCCTGTGTAGTATATTTACTATTTCGAAAACCTACTTTTCCCCAGCCCTGTAAAGCATATAAATAACAGAATAATTCTTCCAAGTTAAAACGCAAAGCTGCCGAAGGACAATAGTCGGAAAACAGTGACCAATGAGAGGCTAGATCAAAGCAGAGTCCAGTTCCACTCATCGGCTCGGCCGCCTCGCGTCACCTAATCTCGCCTCTCATTGGTCACTATTTTTCGTTAATAACTCGTAAACAAAGCCGCGGATTGCATTCTCGCTAAGGAAAAAGTTACTTCGAATGACCTCAGCAATCACCCTTTTCCGCGTGTTAACTATGGGACACCCTGTACGTGGAAAACGACTAAATAAAAGAGAAGGCGGAATGACTATTTACAGGTTTATTTCCACTTGCGTCGGACAGCAAAAAAAGATTCGTGTCGTCCGCAAAGGCAGAACGGAGTCCAAGGGACAGCTTTAAGGGCGGCCCTTAATATTGGCTAGCTCGGTCGAAGTCAAAGGGAACCGTGACTCGGAAAGAAGGTCACCGACTGGCAAGGGTAGCGCGCTCGTTGCTGCCTAATGAAAATCTAAAGCAAAGGCAAATAGAGGACGGCGTGTGTACCTACCTGGATGGAATCTCGTCGCGGACCGCGGCGCGTACACGCTCCGAGACTTTTCCTTTCTCGCGTGTCGGATAACACGCGAACTTTCCTCGAGGCTTTCGATCGATTTGAACCCCAGGAGAAACGGGGGTGTCTTCGTTGGACGGAAATTGTTCGACGTCGGGAACGATTACTCCTTGAAAGGGACTAAAGAAACGATCTCTAACCGCCGGTAGATTCGAAATAGCTCGCTATTGGAAATATCGGAAACGTGTACGCGGCCGCAATCAATAGCTCTGGATTAAATTAGGCGGTCGCTTGAAGCATCCAGTCCAGTTAATTGGCCAAAAAAACATCATAACTTTCCACCCGAAAATATCGATTAAATCCTCCTTCGAACGAGCATCTTGTTTCGAAGTGTGCTTCAATTAAGATCAGCCTCTTCTGTATCTTCGACAAATTCGTGAAGCCATCTAGAAAACAACTGATGAAAAAAAAGTATTGTCGATCGGTCATTTTTCAAGATCTCTGTTAAAAAATCACGATAAATGGCGCAGCGTACACGCTTTTTCATCGCGTAACGATTAATAGGAAACTATTTTAAACATTTGCTTAGAAAAGATTCCAAAGCATCAAGGTATCTCCGAGATCATTAGCTTGGCGCGACCGCCTAAATCGGACAGTTTTTCGGCGCCGCTGGCTCGAAGAACGATCCACAGGGAGACTCGAGACGCGCGTACATACACCGGGTGTCCCGTAACTCACCTGCAAATATACGCGCCGCTTGACCTGGTTCTCGAGTTCGAGCGAGTTTTATGGAACCAGCGATTTAAATGTATCTCCTGAATGCGCGGCAGAACAAGTAGCGGGGATCCGGTCTCCCGGAAGAATCGAGGCAACGCAGAAGCTCGCTCTGTAGCTCGGAGATCCGGCCAAACAGGGCGTAGCTTCTCGCGAATTTATTTAATCAACCGGCGAAGTCGGTCGCCGCGCGGATTTCGTGGAGCACGGGGCACTCTGCATTTCGCGTTCGACGGGGGTGAGTGCGATGGGCGCGGCGGGGAGGGGAGGGGAGGGAAGTTTTGTGAGGTTGCTTGAGCGAGTTAGGGGAACAACGCCGAGGATGCTTCGATCGACTGGGATTCGCTGGTTTTGACCAACCGTGGGATTAATTCGGCAATAATATTGAACGACGCTAACTTCGCTGGTATTCCGCTGGTGTACCGCTTTGCCCCTTGACAATTGCGCTTTGCAAAACGCTTTGCGATATGGATTTCGATGTGATTTAGTACCGTGTACCGCCGATTCGATGCAACAATGATATCGCAAGGTGCAAGATGGGAAAGCTGGGATCAATCGTAAGTGGAGATCGAAAATAACATTGTTACTGGTAATTCTGTGGCTACAGTGGCCCACAAAAGTGTTCGTACATCTTTTAAAACGCAATAAAATTGTCAAAACTGAACTAAATAACTTGAGTTTCTTTTTAGACGATAGAGGGACTAGTATACTAGATGATGCCTAAGAAGCTTTCTTTTAATTTTGCTATTACTTGGAATGAAAAGAAGAATTTAAAAACCCTTGTTTCTTAACTTTTTTACGTGAGCCTATAATGAAAACTTAAAAAATGCCTTTCGTAGATCTGCTGCTTCTATGTGTGGGTCGTCATAGCGTGCGGCGAGCTCCAGGCTTAACCCAGAATCGAGCTACAGGCGTTGAATGATTTTAAAAACTGCAGATTTCTTACAGTTTTTAGGCTCAGGTAAGAAAGTTAAAAAAACGAGATATTTTTATTCTCTTGTGTCATTCCAAATAAGAGCAGAATTTAAAAAAAAGCATTTCAGTCATCGCTTAGAAGACTAGTCCCTCTATCATCTAAACAAAATTTAACTCACTTAATTCAGTTTTAATCCTTTGCAGTAACCCTTTGAGACGCCACTGAAATTTGTTATATCACGTTCTAAGGTAATTTTTGTATAAACAAAGACTAGATTTAAAAAATTGTTAAAAGTGTAGCTAAACTGTGAAATACTGTAAGGCAGAAAAATTCTGTTAGGTTTACAGTTAAATTAGCTTCGAGTGCAAAGGGTTAAAGTAGTTATTGCATTATAAAAGGTGTACGAACACATTCGTGGGTCATTGTATAAGGAAGAACACCGCAAACCGCAGTTTCAAAAAATTTGATCTAATGCATTAATTGAATTGTAGCATATAGGATTTACGTATTTATCAGAAAGGAACATCAAGAAAACAAATTCTGTAGATTCAGCAAAATTATGCAGTTTCAAACACTACTAATACAAAGCATTAGCGATCAGCTACAGAATTG